CCGAGGCCCGCCACTCTAGCCTTCGGGCAAGGGTTCCCCTGGGACCTCCTCCCCCGAATTTGAGCTCTCTGGGTCTTTGCGTTCCAGAGATACGAGCGATTTTCTTCTGAGATCGTGACGTCACCGGCGTCCGCAATTTTGCAGCGCGCCCGATGGTTTTCTGCTAATATCTCCGCGAAAACACCACCAAAAACTATGGAACTTATATGGTTCTTTTCAGCTCGACTAGATGGTCCCAACGAGCTCGGTGCTCGCCGAATCCGTCTAGTATTCGCCGAGATATTTGCGTAATAGACGGTATTGTCTATGAGTTCGAGCACGAGCGCTCTTGTAAAATTTGGTTGCAATCTGAAACATCACCACTAGAGGCCGCTAAAAGTTACACAGAGCACCTTTAAATAAATAAACGGTATTATTAAATTATGGTTATTATTATTAGTTAAAATGATAGTTAAATTAATGAAAACAGGGGTTTTTTTGGTTGAACAAATGCTTTTACTATAACAAACTTGAAACCATTTGTTTGTTTTGTTTATTAAAATTTCAATAAAACATGTCTAATCAATTTAATTCAATAATTGATAATGAATTAGATTAACAACTTATTTTTAACATTAATAATTTATTAAAATGTTTAAGAATAATATAGTCCTATGAAATGTATTTTATTCAGAAAATTAATGTTTCTTTTTATGATTTAATCCAAATATATTATCAAAAACGGTGGTAATCAAATGTAAATTTAAACTGTGTCCTTTTTTTTTTTGGGGAAGCGCTGCAAAAACAGATTTACTAAATTAAACCATATATGGACAAAAAATATATATTCCTTTAGATAATGTTTAAATAAAATGTATTATTGTTGTTATTATTATTTTGAGAAGTTCGTTCTATTGTATGCCCAGAATTTCTCCTTAGTAAAACCGAACTTTTATTTTGACAGGTTGTAGTGAAAACCCGTTTCAAAGTGTATTTGACAATGGTTTTTCTCAAATAAAATTATGAAAATGCTCATTAGGCGTTCTCTCAGAGAAGCTCTGGAAATGTTCTTGTATTCATGTCCTCTGAAAACACCATGAACGTCACGCGTACTTGAGTATGTAGTAGACAAAGCGGCGCGCAGCTCAGCAGAACAAATAGGTTCTAATACTGCTATATTTACATAGCAGTATTTTTGTGCTTAAATATTCACAGACCATATGTCGCGATTGGATTTATTGCACAGTTCTACTTTCCATGTATTCATCCATCCATTATTTTGCGTGTTTTACGTGACATCTGCGTTATGTGAATTCCATTTTCATGACTGGATTCCGGGATTCCCTTTGCATCACGTAAATCATTCGGCCTTAAATTATAATCGGGATTCGGGACATAGGCTACCTTTATCTGCAGGAGGGATGGTGTCCTATGTATCCTCCTTTTTGCAGCCACTTTGCGTCCACATTTTTTACAAATTGGATATCTATCCTCGAGGACAACCAGTCGTTTTTTCTACAAAGTATTTCCATACTGGCCATAATTCGCTTCATAAGAGTTCGAGGGCGCTTTGCTTAATCGCTTTCAGCTTTAGCTGGGTCTGCGTCACCTTTCTTGCGCGTTTGTTCTCCCGCCCTTCAACCAATGCAGTAGTTTCTGGAGTGTGATTTTTTTTTTCTCCCTTGTATTATTATTTTTTACTCAGTAACGGATATGATTTCAAATGTAGCGAAGTACAAAACTTCAAACAAAACGTACTTAAGTAAAAGTAAAAGTACAGATTTTAAAAACCAGCCTACTTAAAAAAGTAGAAGTACACAAAAAAACTACTCAATTACGTAACGCGAGTAAATGTAATTCGTTACTTTCCACCTCTGCAATCCTGTCATGTAATAAGGTATATATCACGAACCGGCAGCCCTCCGACACTTTCAACTCCTAGCTCATATGTTCCTTTCCAGCCCTCCTTTCTCTCCCACATTTCTTCCTGTCCACTCTGTTCTGCACTATACAAATAATAAGCCTAAAATGCCACAAAAAGCGTGTGTGCGTGAGAAAGAGAAAGAGAAAGAGGGGCTTGTTTTATTACATTAATAAGAGAGTTCACTGCTGGGCAGAGGAGAAAGGTCACTTTTAACTATGAAAGATCCCTCAGAGCAGCTGCTCCAAATCTCTAACGTGATCATTACAGCGTTTTCAGATTCCAGACTACCCTCTCTTTTTCTCTGCACTTCTAACATTTTAGGAGAAAATGGTGGTGCACTGTAGGCCAGCTGAGCTACAGATGTTTTTCACCTGCTCACCAGGACAGAAGTAGCACCGCTGGGACTCTCATCATGGCTCTGTCACAGCAGTCAATCAAAATCCAGCTTTAAAGGGCCCTGTGGCGAATGGACCGACCGAGGAGGCCCTTCTTCCTCTAACTCTCACTGGGCCCTGCACCTTGCTTCAGGAAGCATCTGAACATTGCATTGTGGATATGTTTGCACAAGCTAAGCAATTCAGCTCTCCAGTAAACTCACGTGACGTATAGTGACGTGTCTGCTTCATGGCACTCATAAACCACACAACATTCAAAGTTTGATTAATAAACCTGATTGATGTTCTTTTCACTCTACACAACTGTATGTAAATGTCAGTTCCAGTCAAAACACATTTTACACTACAAGACTTGAATCGCAGACAGATCAATTTAACACACTAACACATCAGCGCTTCTTACAGATCGCGTCTTTAATCATTCGAAAACACGTGAATGAGCACTGATTTGGCTTCTGTCGGCAGTCTCCATGAACTGATTTTCAGAGCTAAAATCGTGTAGTGTGGCTGTATTAGTATGTCATATAGGCCTACCATTTAAAAGGAATGCAAGGTAAAGGAACATGCCTTAACAAAAATCCATGCTGGAGGAGCTTGTGATTACTTAAGTCAGCCTTGCACAAGTAGAAAAGAACAACAGACAGCACAGGAAAGCAAAATCATTTCTCAGCTTAGAATCTTTCCTCTTTGGAGATAACATCGCAGAAGCCCGTCTCTTAAGAAGCGGCAATTGTGACCTGAATGTCAAAAGAACATTTGTTGTCTGCATTCCTGTATTTGATATTGATGCCTGGAATCCTATTCTCTGCTCACAGCCGGTTTAAATGGCGTTCTTGAGAGATGAGTGCAGCAGATTGCTCTTTCAAACCATCAGTGCCAGATCAGAAGCACATATAAACAGGTCCTGGTAACAGCACTTTTCTAAGATACCTTTGCAACAGCATCTAGTTGCAATAAAATGTTCTCTGAAAAGATGGAACATGGAAGGAAGAAACTGGCTTAAGAGTTATCTAAACCTTTTCCATTTGATAGCTAAACTGTTATAGATTATAAGAACTGCATCATGTGAGTGTTGGAGCTGTTATATCATTGATGCACTTAATGTTTAATATTGTGTTTACCTCAGTTCAGTTCAGATTCTGTTTGTTGTTTCATTTGATATTTCAGCTGAATGTTTTTCACAGGCAGAGCCATGAAGGAAACCCTTTATTCTTGCAAGGTCTGGTGATTCATCTCTGTCAATTATAGCAATTTTCTTTGCCAAAATGTTTGCATTATTTTCATTTTATTATATGATATATCCAGTTACTGTCATCATTTTCTCTGAGTGGAACTGATCAAACTTCATCTCTTCAGAACCTAATCATTATCAGAAATGTTTAAAAAAATGGGTGTAAAATGAAAAAGAGAGAATCATTATAGATATAGGGAAATATTCCATAGTGTGCCTTTGAATTACATAATGTAAAAAAACCTCATTCAGTAAGTAATTTTGCGAGTTTCGGAAATAATAAAGGACTGCATAATGTAGTCTGCACTGACTGAGAAATTGATGAGTCATTTTTCTTTCTGATTGAGCTAGAATAAGTCAAATAATTTAAGTGATTGAATATTGATTGACAGGTCATTTACAGTATCTTTTCTCTGCGTTTAGTTCTAAAACACAGTTTGACAGAGAAACAGAGATGATGAGAATGATGATGAAAGAATTATGTTGATCATTGTTGTTTTTTTGACGGGATATTGCAGGGTGACAATTACAAATGAAAAATGATGACTTGGAAATTATGTGTTTGTCCCTAGGTTTTTAACTATAAAGACATTTACAGTTTTTTACGATTGCTATGACAGATTTTTCAATACTTTTAACAATTTTCCAAAACTCTTAACACAGCTAGCACTACATCCGTCTGTGTAAGCTATACTATTAACACATTTCTTGTTGCTTTAACACAAAATGCATACAATTAACACAAATTTAAATGCTTAAACTTCTTTTACACAAGCTCAAACAAGACCAAAACAATGGATTTTTACTGCCAAATTTACCAATGCTTTAACACTGTATGTCAGAACAGATAACACCATGTTCTAAACCTAACCTTACAGGCTAAAGTCAAGGTAAACAGCTGTTTATATTGTGAATTGAAACACAAATATATCCCCTGTATTTTATTCTATTGTTACTGAGAAACAGCTGATTGAATTATGCAAATATATAAATCACAGCTGATTCCCATCTAGGAAACACACTCAGGTGTTGAGGTTCATTCAATTGCAAGACCATATGGTATAAAGTAAAAGAGGACCTTTTGGGCTGATCTTTTGTGGAAAGGGAACAATATCAACAAAAGAAAGAAAGAAAAATGTCTGCACTAGGTAGAGGAAGACGTGTACCAGGACAAGGGACTGGGACAAGGGCAAGGGAGAGGAGTGGGACAGGAACAAGGGCAAGGGCAAGGGCAAGGGCAAGGGCAAGGGCAAGGGCAAGGGCAAGGGAGAGGAGTGGGACGAGGGAGAGGGAGAGGGAGAGGGAGAGGGAGAGGAGTGGGACAAGGGCATGGGTAAGGGAGAGGAGTGGGACAAGGGCAAGGGAGAGGAGAGGAGTGGGGCAAGGGCAAGAGAGAGGAGTGGGGCAAGGGAGAGGAGTAGGACATGGGCAAGGGAGAGAAGTGGGACAAGGGCAAGGGAGAGGAATGGGACAAAGGCAAGGGAGAGGAGTGGGACAAGGACAAGGGCAAGGGAGAGGAGTGGGACAAGGTCAAGGGAGGGGAGTGGAGCAGGGCAAGGGAGAGGAGTGGGACAAGGACAAGGGCAAGGGAGTGGAGTGGAGTGGAGTGGAGTGGGACAAGGACAAGGGCAAGGGAGAGGAGTGGGACAAGGGCAAGGGAGTGGAGCGGGACCGGGACAGGGACAAGGGCAAGGGAGAGGAGTGGGGCGAGGGAGAGGAGTTAGAATGCGTGGTGGTGCTCAAAGAAGGCCAAGAGCTAGGGTAACTAATGAAATAAGAGCTACTATAATAGACCATGTCATAAACCACGGGCTATCATACAGAGAGGCTGGTGAACGAGTACAGCCAAATCTCAGCCGGGACATGGTGGCATCAATTGTTCGGATTTTTAGAGAAACCAACAGGTAGGATATTGCTTCTCCTACTGCAAAGTGTAAATAATTGTACCATGTATTACAGTGACTGTGTGCCTCCGGTCTCTAATATGTAACTGTATTTTGTCCCTCTAAGGACTCAACGTCTACCTCCCTCAGGGGGAAGAGGAAAGCTCCTGAATTAAGTACAGGAACTTGCTATTGTCAACATGGTGATTGCTGACAATGAAATAAAACTGAAGGACATTCAGTCCAGAGTTGTAGAGGACAACCTTGTCTTTAGGAACATTGCAGTAATCAGCACAACATCCATTTCTCGGACTCTAGCTACACACAGCGTCCGAATGAAACAATTATACAAAGTTCCTTTTGAAAGGAACGGTGAGCGTATCAAAGAACTCTGTCACCAATACGTCCAGGTAAGGTTATGCAATACAGTCATTACTGTACTATACATTGTGTGTTTTGCAGTAAACTACTCTATAAACTTGGAGTACATTAGGACATACAGTAGATATACAGCAAAGCATTTACATACACTGTGTCTGATTACTTTCAGAGAGTAATGGAGTTGGAGGCCAATCAAGTCCCACATGTAATGATTTACGTTGATGAGGCTGGCTTTAACTTAGCGAAAAGGCGTGGCGCGGAAGAAACATAATTGGCAAAAGGGCCACAGTTACTGTGCCAGCCCAGAGAGGAGCCAACATCACCATGTGCGCCGCAATCTCCAACGATGGTGCACTCCTGCATAAATGTGAGATTGGCCCCTACAACACCAACCAACTTCTCCTGTTTTTAGAAGACCTGCACAAAAGACTTGTGCCAGAGGTAGAAAGGGGACAAGTGAGAGACCACTTGCCAATATACGTGATCACATGGGACAATGTGGCATTCCACCATTCCCGTGCAGTCACAGCATGGTTTGACGCCCATCCTAGGGGGATGTCCCTTTTCCTTGCTCCTTACTCCCCTTTCCTCAACCCCATTGAGGAGTTTTTCTCATCCTGGAGATGGAAGGTTTTTGACCATCATCCACAGGAGCAAATGTCCCTCCTGGATGCTGCATGCCAAGACATAACAGCTGAACACTGCCAGGGGTGGATAAGGCATGCCAAACGATTCTTCCCATGATGCCTTGCCAGAAAAGATATCAGGTGTGATGTGGATGAGAACATGTGGCCAAATGCAGAAGACCGAGCAGATTAGAAGATGACTTTTTTTTTTTCCTTTTTTTTTTCTTCTGGTGCCTTTTCTGTTCGTATATTTTGTATTTTCACATAATAAATGGCAGCTATATTGCATATTTTTGTTATCTTATAATGTCCTTTTGCAAATAAAGTCTTTATTGAAGCAATTCTATCTCTGTCTTCATTACAGTAACCGTACCTTCTATAAAGCACTCTGAGATGGGTCTTTTTTTAATTGAATTTCTGCAGCAAAAGACCTAAACCCAACAAAACAAAAATGTAGAGAGGCTTCAAAAGAAACTGCAGTGCAAAACACAATCTATGATCAATACAATATACTGCCTGTTGTATAAGGGCATACCTGACACATAAAATAATGCAGTTTCTGTAATTCCATCTGATGTTAGTGTTTCTATGACATTGTGCTATGATTGACTACGTTGGACGAAAACATATGTTACTGTTTTGAAAAATTATTTGATTTTGAGACATGTTTGCAGTGTTTTGGTAGACATAGTGTATTGTTGCTAGTGTATTATTGTATTTTGAAAACTAGTGTTGGAGTTTAGTTTACAATGTGTGATTTTGAGCATGAAATTAACTGTTTTGCCAATTGTGTGTTGTTGGTGTGTTAAGAGTTTTGGAAATTTGTTAAAAGTATTGAAAAAATTGTCACAGCGATTGTAATAAACTGTAACATCTTTATTACTGTAATTAGCTCTGAAAATAATCAAACTGCCTGCACACAATACAGTTTTTTAGAATCACTTTGCTACTATTTTCAGAACCTTGATGTCATTTTTCAAAAGACACAAAACTCAAAACAGTTATCACTTGTAACACAGGCTGTCTAATGTTCAAAACATTGCATTGTGCATTCACATCTTTAAAGAAATCTTGCACTTGCACAATCATTGATTCAAAAAACAAATTTACTGTGAAATACCATTGAAACATAGATCACCCACACACAAGCAACCGATAGTTTCACTGTGTCATTGTTCGTACAATCATTAAATATTGTAGAACAAAATAGGTGATACAGGTTTCATTATGGTACATGTACAGTAAATACATCTCTGTAAAAGTACTGCAGTAGTAGAGAGAATACAGACATAGTGGAATCGTTGAACAAAGTTTGTAATATATTGATGCAAAACACTACAGTACAATCACAACATATGTTTATTGGAATCAAAGCAAAAATATAAAATATTAGGCTACATCCATGGATATCTAATTGGTCCATGCTCCACGCTAATTGGTGACAATGAATCTCGTTATCTTGAAACTTTCATGATTTACAGTAAACATCGAAGATTGTGTGTCTGTTTCCATACAACTATGCATTAAGAGTACTGCAACAGTTACTTATCATTTTGAGCAGTTGTATCAATTGATCATTGTAAGGAAATGAATAAATAGACACTCATTTGAAATGTAATGTGTGAATTGCCTTTTGAAATAGTGGTACTTTGATGTTAAGTTGTGTCATATTGAACAGGTGATTTTTGTTGAATGAACAAATGAGCTAAGTTGTATGTGTATTGTATCCAAGCAATTGAGAAAAGGGTTAGAGTTTTGAAAAATGTGCATTTTGATCATTGGTTGTGAGTTTTGTGTCTAGAGTTGTGAAAAATGACATCAAGGTTCTGAAAATAGTAACAAAGTGATTGTAAAAAACTATAATAGAAAATTTTAATATTGAGGGGTCTGGTTTAATCCCCACAAGAACCCAGGCGTGAACCAACACCGGTGTATTTACTGTAAGGAAGGCACTTTACACCAGGTTGTTAATATAGGGAGTTTCTCTATGCAATGAGTGAAATTTTGGAAATAAATTCTACTGGTCCTGTCTGTGTAGTGATAAATAGAGAATAAAGTCCAAATTACTTAAAATAAGCAGAATGATATCCCAAATGAGTTAGAGGAAAATCTGCTGTCGGAGGTGCTTACGGGACTCAGGGATACATTCATATACTGTGTAAGCCTGCAAAGAACTGTTTGTGTGTGTGTGTGTGTGTGTGTGTGTGTGTGTGTGTGTGTGTGTGTGTGTGTGTGTGTGTGTGTGTGTGTGTGTGTGTGTGTGTGTGTTTGTGTGTGTGTGCGTGCGTGCGTGCGTGCGTGCGTGTGTGCGTGTGTGTGTGTGTGTGTGTGTGTGCGTGTGTGTGTGTGTGTGTGTGTGTGTGTGTGTGTGTGTGTGTGTGTGTGTGTGTGTGTGTGTGTGTGTGTGTGTGATCTCTGGCATGTTCGAGTGGGAGATTGAAAACACTGTTCGTTTTTGTTTTCTGTGTTTTTGATACATAACAAGAGTGGGTGCGGGTTCTCAAGAGAGCTACTGATGACTAAACAGATGTGTCTGTTTGCCTGCAGGGATCTAATATAATAGTCAGAAAGAGAGCTGAGGTGTAAAATCGCTTTCATATTTTAGTGTGTCATCGATTTTTTCCACATCTTCATTTGTGGTATAAGGTAGTGTTTCCCAACAAAAGGAACGCCAACACAGCACATTTTCAATGTCTCTCTTATCTGATACACACATTAGAGGTCTTGAAGCCTCTACTGATGAACTAAACAGTTGAAGGGGGGCATCCAAAATGTGCGAACAGAAACACAGGCTTAATTTTATATCATTTAAGTTTAAGTTATAATGTGCGCAAATGTATGCACTTGCACACATTACATTCTTTGTGTATTGCGATTTCCAGTAGGTGTTACACCAGTCAGTGATCATTTAAACATTTAATTTGCTTCTCTGCATGTTATAATACCATCAACCAACATCAAAGAACAATGTTGAACAAAACATTGAACAGAACAATGCAAATGCATTGTTAAATTATTTAAATTATACTTCTAGTAAATATTGTAAGTCAAATATTGTTGGTTCATTTTGTAAACATGTCATGGTTTTGCAATGCACAGCAAGCTTTAATAAAGCTAGCTGAATCTGAATATATTTTTTATCTGACTACTGTTTACTTTACATAGATTCTGTATGTTGACCCAAAAATCAAGCGTAGCGTAAGTTCTGGCAGGTCACGTTAGTCAAGCTTGCATCAGCTGACTCTCAGCTGATCCACGTCTACCTATAGGAATACGACGCCTATCACTGTACATATATAAGCTCCTTCAGTATTATCAGCAGCTAATATCGCGTTTCTCAGGAGCTAATTACCCTCCTCCATCCCCAGCTCCTCTTCTCGTTCAGTCAGGATTTGGCATTCTGATTCCCCTGATTCTGAATCTTGAATTAATGATATCTGCAATACATTCATGTTGGTTCTGTTCTGTTTACCTTAAGGGGGGTTATTGCTGCTCTAATCCATGCTAGGCTGTTCTTGCCCAGAACAGAACCATACCGTCAATCCTAACTGTATGCTAATTGTCAATCGTATTCGACGATAGTAGTCCTGACAGAAATGAAAATTATGTAATTATTCCAACCTACAAAAAAAAAAAACCCACAATAAAAGCAGCCCATTTATGCTATATTTCAAGTCTTCAGAAGTTATATAATAGTTAACGATCTCCTTCATCCTTGTGATTAATTAGAAATGGTGTAATACAAGAGTGGCTAATTCTGGCTAGCATTACCTTTTGTATTTCACTGAAGAAAAAAAATAATAGGAGGTTGGAATGACTTTAAAGTTTGCTATGGTGTGCTATGCCCTGTGAGGTATCTGTTCTGACAGCAGACCGGCTGGGCTTTTATGCTTTTCCCTTTGTGTGTTAGCATTTAGCGCTAGCTACAGTGGTATGCAGAGAATCTCTCCTCTTGGCCAGCTGAAATATGGTCTTGTGGCCCCTCCCTATATGCCTCTTCAAGCCGTTGAGCTCGGGACCATCAGACTCTCAGAGAGCCGTTAATCTGCATCGACTCAAACACGGCAACCTTCATGACTGTTCACCCTTGACCTTTTGAACCTGACCCTCAGTGTGGGTACCTGTGAACATGGCTTTTGT